TGCTACCCCTGCATCTAAGGATTTGGTGATCTGGTTGTAGATGGCCACCAGGTTGGTCTGATGGGACCTGCTGCTAATGAACCCATGTTGATTGCCCCTTGTCATGGGTATTGTAGCAGGTTGGTGCAGGGTCTGAATCATCTGGCTTTGATTTGAGTGGGTACAGTCTTGGGATTGCGTTGTAAGTGCAGGAATTGCTGCTTCAGATTCCCAAGGTATGTATCCAGGTTGATGGGCTCAGAGTAGATATAGTTGTAACTGACAGCTTGTTTCAAGCAGGAAGGAATGAGCAAGGGTCACATGCAGTATAGATTATCTAGTTAGTATTCACTACGTTGCCACTTCCATCTGGAAGGATGGACACATGCTAACAGAGAACATGAAATGGCATGGACTCCTGAATGTGCTAAGGAACACAGGAGTTAGGCACTCCTTTTGTTCAAATCCTGATTCTGCCAATGACTTGCTGTGTGGACCTGGGTAAATCACTTGGGACCTGATCCAAAGCCCATTGGAAAACTTCATACTGACTTAAAAGCTTCATGTTCGGCTGTTGGGGATTAATCTTTTAGCAGTGCTCATCTAAAGGGTTCTCAAACCAGGCACCTAAATTTGAGCCCATGGAGATACTTAGGCATTTATCTCTATCCTGGTTCCCATCTGTCTAAAAGGAAGTTTAACTTGCCTTGTTTTAACAAGGTACTAAAAGGCAGGGTTTTTTTAATTGTTTAGTACAGAAAGCATAAAATGGAGAATGAGTGGCACTTGTCCTAAGTGATATAAATCTAAGTCACTCTTTGCTGAACAGGCAGTATTCCTGTTAACAGTTTACCTATTTGGATGTAAAAGAAAACAGCTAAATTCCCCCAGAATTTTAATTAGGATGATCTTCATTTTCTATTATAAGCCACTTATTAGCCAATTTGGGTGTGCTTTCAGCTATTGAGTTGATTCAACTTAACAGCTATTTAACTTCTCTTCCAGCAATGGCGGACTGGACCCATGGTCTGGAGGTGGAGTGACTCAGAACATCACAAACTCTTTAGTTGCCATTGTGATTCCTGAAGGAGCTCATCACTTGGACCTGCGCAGCAGTAACCCTTGCGATCCCAAATCTGTGCGGCAAGCCCGGGCCTTGGAAGTTCACTATATGAAGCAGTGGATTGGAAAGGCCACACAAAGGCACTAAAGTGGCTACAGTAACTGCCATCACTACCTCCCATTGACTTTAGTGGGTGCAGGATCAGGCCTTCATTGCACAGTTACATAGTCTTTTTGCCTGTGCTTCCTTTTTTTCCTTTAATGTTTATATATACTCTTTCAGCACTGTGCCTGTCAGTGGAGGTAGGTAGGTGGTCTTCAGATAGGTTTGATACTGGAGCAGATTCTCAGTCAAAGTGTATGGGTTGAGCTGCCTGCTATAGCTTGCTTCCCTATCTTGCTACTATCAACTACTGTGGGTATCCTTTCTGCAACA